TTCCTTGATGCTCCATTGCCTTCACATTGACCAGTTGTAAGTCTCTGTATTAATCACCATCTGCTGAAGAAAGAAACTTTTCTGATGAGGATTGACAGATGAATTAATACATGGGTGTAAAGATAAGAACTCAGATGGCAGTTTACTACTATTGGACTGTGGGGATTTTTTAATATTTTATTTATTATTTTTATTTTATGTGTACGAGTGTATTGTCTGCATGTATGTGAGTGCACCCATGTTGTGCAATGCCACGGAGGTCAGAAAAGGACTTCAGATTCCCCTGGAACTGGAGTTAAGGACAGTTCATAGCTGCCATGTGGGTGCTGGGAATCGAACCTGGGTCCTCTGCAAGAACAGTCAGTGCTCTTAACCACTGAGCCACCTCTCCAGCCCCATGGACTGTGCTTTTTAATCTACCCAGCTAGTTTACATCCTTTAGCTGGAGAGTTAAGACCATTTAGATTAAGGGTTATTACAGAGGGGTATTTGCTGATTCCTATCATTTTGTTGGTTCTTTTCCCAGTTGGTTTGAATACTGTTTGCTCTTTTCCTTTTTTCTTCATCACCTTAAGGGTCTTCTGGTTTACTGAGTTAGACATGTTTCTTTCCTAATTCTCATTGATCCATCTGTTTCTTTCATGAAATTTATTCTTTTTGGTGGGGGGGGGCGCGCTTTTTGAGACAGGATCTCCCTGTAACCCCAGCTGGCCTAGAACTTTCTGTGTAGACCAGATTAGCCTCAATCTCACAGCCATCTGCCTGCCTCTGCCTCCAGAGTGCTAGGATTAAAGGTGTGTACAACCACACTCAGTCCACTATGAAATTTATTCTTTACTGGGCTCTTTTTGTAACTGTCTTTCTTCCACCACTGTGGCAGAATTCCAAGGATGAGAGATAAAAGGCAGAGAGAGCCTCTAGGAGGATCCCTAGAAACTAACCAGCCTGCTACCCTGGCCTACATAACAACCCTCTAGGTCAATAAGAAGCCCAGTTTCAGCCAGGCATGATGGTGCACACCTTTAGTCCCAGCACTAGGGAGGCAGAGGCAGGCAGATCTCTGTGAGTTCCAGGCCAGCTGGGGCTACAGAGAAACCCTATCCCAAAAAAAGACCAAAAGAAGAGAAAAAAAGAAAAAAAACCCTGTTTCAAGTAAAAGGTGGAAAGCATTTGAAGACAGGTAACAGTGTTGTCCTCTGGTCACAACATGTGTGTCATACATGTACACACCCACTCCCACAGGTGCACATACATATACACCAAAAAAATAATAAAATAAGGCATGCTGAGCAGAAGCCAGAGACAGAAGAGAAGACCCTGAGTGGTTCTGTTTTCACCACCTACGAGAGTAAATAAAAGAAAGACACAAGATAGAGAGTTGCAACAGAAGCTGGAAATGGAGAGTCATGAGTTAACTGAGAAAGAGCACATGCAGGACAACTCTACAGTGAAGGAAGTTGATCAGTGTGAGTTCCACCCATCCATGTATACATTTGTCAGAACTCAACTCCTAAATGTGTTAATCTTCATTGTCAACTTGATGTGAAATCACCTAGGAGACAGACCTGTAAATGGGTCTTTGTGGGTGTTTCCAAGGAGGTTTAACTGAGGAGGGAAGTCCCACCCTAAAGGTAGACTGGTACAATCCCATTGGCCTGGAGTTCCAGACTGAATCAAATGTGAAAAAGAAAGCCAGGTGAGCTTCCTGGTCTTGGCCATGGTCCAAGCTGTCGAGTCACTATGCCGTCTCCTCCATGATAGATTACATTCCTCTGAACTGGACCAGAATAAACCCTTCCTTCCTTAAGTTGCTCTTTGTCATATATTTGGTCATAGATATCAGAAAAGTGGCACACACCTTTAATTCTAGCACTCAGGATAGAGTGGTAGATGGATCTCTGTGAGATCAAGGCCAGCCTGGTCTACATAATAAGTTCCAGGCCATCTGTGGCTACAGGGAGACTGTCTCAAAAAGAAAGAAAAGTTAACTAATATAATTTCAAAAAGGATTTTAAAATTATGAAAAGGCTGACAAACTGATAAATAAAACTTACAGACAGTATTGGGAGAAATGGGCAAAAGATAAGCCCAGGCATCTCACAGACACTGAAAACACAAAGTAGGGATTTGCAAATCACCATCACTAGATACTTTTCACCCTGAATTTGGTCATACCACCTGGACAAGGACTAGTGGTAGATGTGTAACTGGTGTAGTAGTCACTTTGGAGAAAGATTTGGGCATTTTCTTGTACCAAGTTTCAGCCAAAGTCCAACCCCAGCATTCCTTTTCTTAGGTCTGGAACCAAGAGCACCATTCAGACAGCAAACAGAAGTTATACCCTGGAATGTCACCTAGTGCTGTCCCCAACAGCCATGGGCTGGAAACAACCCAAGTGTGGTTTGGTCACACCTCGGACAGCAGTGCACAAGGTCAAGTAGAGTATGGTGCCCAGAAAGGTAAGAATCTTAGTAGCAAAATGCAAGAACTCGAAGACAACACAAAGATTGACACCCTCTGCCATAATGCTCAAATGCAAGCAAAGCTACACGGTGTGCTGCCCATAGGTCAACTACTCTGAGCAGCAGAAGGATCCCAGTGAGTGTTCCCTCTGAGAAGGGAGCTGTGGGGGGCTGGGGTCACTTTGCACTTCTCTATTTCTTATGTTGTCGTCTTCCTACCACTTCATAAATGAATGCGTAGATAGATGTCAGTACTGAGAATAAAATGAAAGAAGCACTCTGAAATTTGTTGGTAAAAATTCTAAGACTTCCAGGGGACAGCCAGCCCTGTGGGAAGCCTGATGCTGGAGAAGGAGGCTTCCCAGCTGAGCACAATTTCCCCCAGGACCTGCAGGAGCCTCCACAGAACCCACAAATTACCCTGAGAACAATTAGAGTCCTCAAGGCTGAGGAGAGCAAGGCCAGGGAGGAGCCCACATAGACCACGGAGCCCCATGACAGCAGGGCCTGTGAGATGAGGATTGCTTCCCCCAGAGTCACGGTCAGAGACACATAGAGACCCTACAGGGACCCTGTGCCTTCTGCCATGCAAGGCCTGGTTTGCTGTGACCTTAAAACAAGGGAGATGGACACGAGGAAAACACCTTCCAAGGACCCCTCAGCTGCCACTACAAACCTAGCCAGTCTAGGCCACCAGAACTGGGACCTGGGAGCCCCGCCAGTCTTGGGAAAGCGGCGTCAGTCTGTCCCAGGCTGCAGGCTTTAGCTTGGGCTTTGGTGACGCCAACACCCAGACACCGTGCCAGTTCTGGCTGACAAGATTTCACTCTCGGCTTGCAAACTGTACCTTTTCTGGCTTCAAGGACCCACTCCCGATGCTGAAAGGAGACGGGAAACCACCCTTGAGCTCCTCCCCCAACACTGAGCTCTTAGAGGGATCTGATCCACACTGGTCCTGAGATCCATGGAGGCTGCCACTAAGGTGACAGCCACGTCTGGCTGTCAGTGAATCACCCAGTGGGCCACCTGGCCCAACCCCAGAAGACAAATTGTGGAAGGAGCTGCAGAGTGTGCAAAGAACTGTGCTGATCCATGGGTCTCTACAGCCTGTGCCAGCACAGACAGCCTGGTGCTAAATGTAAGTGAGGGTCCTGGGGTTGCACCCTTTTAAAGACAGACCAGAGAAGTTCAATGTGCTGCTGCACCCAGACCCCTTCCCATCCTCCGTTCCAGGCCATTCCATCTGCCCTCAGACACCTAACAGAGGTGTCCCTGCATGCAAAATTCCCAAGCAGTGTATTTCACTTGAATTTTGGTGCAGACACCTCCCACCATTATCCAACAGCAACTCTGCTGCTGGGAAAACAGAAAAAAAAAAAAATTCTGGATAGCCGAAGTCTGGGCCATGTCAGGATATCAAACATGGGGGTGAAGTCAGATGGGTCATATACCTGTAACCCCAGCACTCAGTAGACTGACTCTGGGAGATCTAGAATGTGCTGTCAGCCTGGGCTAGAAAGGCACTAACTCCCGGAGACAGGAGGAAGAAACCATTAAAAGTAGGGTGATTTGTATATAAGTATTACATACAGATCACTGACATTCTAATGAGATATGTTATCTCTGGCACCCAGTTCAGACATGTGTAAGATGGATGGGGTTTTTTGATTGCTAATAAAGGACATGAAGTCGAGTAGGGGAAGGAGGAAGGTGAGGGTGGAGACAGGGAAGAGAGTCTGAATATAATCAAAATACATTGTATGAAATTCTTGAATCAATTTATTAAAAAGTGGGGTGAGCTCTCGCCCCTCTGCAACCTCTGCTCTGACCACTCCCCCTCAGTGTGGTGGCCTGTGGCTAACAGAGGTGTAGCCTTTCACTCTGACCTTCCAGAGGCATGAGGCAAACCCTGGCCATAGAAAAGAGCATGAGCCAGCTAGGGTACTTAAGGCATCAGGGTGAGTAGCAGAGAAGAGCCGGTTACATGACCTCTGAGCAGCTCATTGGGCAAAGTCTTCCAGAGCTGTGTGTGCACGCATTATTTAATATGAACATATATATACATGTGTGCACGTATGTGCCTGCTCATACCCGAAGTGTGGGTGTGGGTGTAGGTATACAGGTGGGTGCATACACATAGATATTCACCTCATTATACCTATACGGGGTCAGGGAAGGTTATGCACCTGAGAGCATATTCATGAATGTGTAAGAGGGGTGTGCCTCCTCACATCGATGTGCACAGACTCCAGGGCCACTGCACAGGTGTTAGCTATTGGTAAATATACAAGTTGAACTCAAAAGTGGAATAACAGGTAAACACTGCAGCAGGTCCTAAAAGTGCACAGTAAGACTCCTCTCTATAACTCTGTCCTCGTCCTGCAAACAAGTATGGTCAGCCCTGGGAGCTTTAGCAGGAAATTCCCTGGGTCCTGGGACAGCATCCATTCTTGCATTTGAGATCCTAGAAGGGGTTACAGGGCTGCCAACAGATTTGACCAATGGAACAGTAGCCTGGCCCCATCATGTACCACACTTGAGTCTCTCAGTGTGCTCAGAAGTGGCCTCTCCAACCGGAAAGGGCCATGAGCAACTCCAACAATACTTTGGTAACAGAATTCATCCTGCTGGGTTTCCCAGAGCTGTGCCACCTGCAAGGGCTGCTATTCGGGTCATTCCTCACCATCTATGTGGTGACAGTCCTGGAGAACCTGGTCATTGTGGGCACTATCAGTGCCAGCCGGCAGCTGCACATACCCATGTACTTCTTCTTGGCCAATCTGTCAGTGCTGGAGACCCTCTACACCACAGTCACGGTGCCCAAGCTGCTGGCCAGTCTCCTGGCAGGGGCAAGGACCATTTCCTTCTCAGGGTGCCTTACCCAGCTGTTCCTCTTCCTTTCACTTGGCTCTTCTGAGTGCTTCTTACTGACCACCATGGCCTGTGACCGGTACCTGGCCATCTGCCGCCCACTACACTACTCAGCCATCATGGATTCAAGGCTGTGCCTGTATTTGGCTCTCAGTGCCTGGCTTGGAGGATTCCTGGCTTCCTTTGTATCCACAGCTCTCATCTCTCGCCTCAGGTTTTGTGGCTCCAATGCTCTCAACCACTTCTTCTGTGATGTCTCACCCCTACTGCAACTGTCCTGCTCAGACACCACGGCTGTTGAAACACTAGACTTTGTGGCAGCCCTGGCAGTACTTGCAACCTCCCTACTAGTGACCACAGTCTCCTATGCCCACATCCTCATCACTGTGCTGAAGATTCCAGGAAAGGCAGGCCGCAGGAAAGCCTTCTCCACCTGTGCCTCTCACTTGGTGGTAGTTGTCATCTTCTACACCACCACCACCTTCATGTACGCCCGGCCTCATGCCATCAGCTCCTTTGACCTCAACAAGCTGGTGTCTGTGATATATTCAGTCGTGACTCCCCTGCTGAACCCTATAATCTACTGCCTAAGGAACCGTGACATCAGGGAGGCACTTACCAAACTCCTCTGGACCCCTGTACCCTCCTGAATGCCAGTTGCTAGAACTGCAAATCCCTCTTCTCTGCAGACAGATATGAGCCACCACTTAGTCAAAGCTGTGCTCTTCCTCACCAGTCCAGACAGCAAGTCCCTCTCTTAGTTCTTAGTCAGAACATCCAAGAGCATAGAGTAGCCATTAGCCAGCATCTAAACAAACAAGGGAGGTGACTAAGACCAAGAGACTAGGCTCTACCAGCAAATTCAGATGATAGCTGCTCTCCTTAGGAACCCAGACCCTTTATCCTAAACTTCTCAGTGCAGAGCCCAAAGGAAGCTCTCTGTCCACTGCCCTGACCACCTGGGATCTAGGCTCTGTACTACCCAACCAGTCTCCTTGACCAGCCTTGCATGCCCCATTCCTAAGCCCCTGGAGGTAGCCTCCTTCCCATAAGGCCACAGCTCCTCAAAGCAGACCCTACAACCCCCAGCCCACAAGGATTCTCAGGCCAGGTGAAGGGTTCCAGCAAGTCCAAGCAGCACCATTGAGCACAGTGTTCTTCCTTTTCTCAGAAACAAGAATGGCTTATTACATCCTCTTCCTCAAAGCTTGTTAGATCTGATGAGTAGATGGTATGGCCTGTGCCTGGCTTTTCTGCCTTTTCTTTCTTTTCTGGGACATGGGAGCAGAACAGCGATGCATGGATTTCTCTCCCCAGTGTTTATGTGTGTGCAGGTGCATGTTTGCGAAGGTGTATATGGAGGTCAGAGGAAAACCTCAAGTGTTGTTCCTCAGGAGCCATCCACTTTGTTTTTTCTAGGTGTGAGTATGTACACATGAGGTACCGTGGAGGCCAGAAGTGTCAGATCCCCCAGGAGCTAGAGTTGAAATTGAAATCTGGCCCTCCGGAAGAGCAAGTGCTCTTAATTGCTGAGCCATCTCTCCAGCCCATACCTTGTTTTGTTTGGTTTGGGTTTGGTTTGGGTTTGGTTTGGTTTGGTTTTTGAGACAGGATCTTTCACTGTTCGGAGCTTGCCAGGAGGCTAGGCTGGCTGACTAGTGAGCCCCAGGAACCTGTCTGTCTCTACCTCCCTAGTACTAGGATTACAAGCATATACTGCTATGTCTGATGTTGATTGTTTTTGTTTTTGTTTCTTTAACATGGATTCTGTGGATCAAACTCTTGTGTTTGCAAGGCAACACTTTACTAAGCTACCTCCCCAGCTCCACTGTGATTCTTTTAAAACTTTGGCACATGTCAGCAAATGTTTCCCTAGTTTAGTGAGCTCCTATAACAAAGTAATGGAACCCAAGGAGGAGCTTATACAAAGCCCAGTTTATATCTGTTTCATGAGGAACACAGGTAAAATCTTGGGGCTTGAAACTGGCATCTGAAATGGGCAAGGCTGTTTGAGCATTAGAGCTAACCTTGTGTTAGCTGTTGAATTGCTCTTGGTGAGTGGGGACCTCATCCTACACATTTGGTCACAGAAGTAAGTCTGTGTTAATAGGTATAAGAAACTGAGTTTTTACACTCAGAAAAAAAGTATAAAATTAAATAAAACACCCAGAATATTAAACATGGCCAGAAGATTTGGTTACCTGGAAGATTAGAAGAAAATATCCAGAAAAGGGAGCATACGAATCAGAATGTAAAGAGGCAGAGGGGACACTACAAGATCTGACACACACTCAATTTTGGAGCAAAGGAAGAGAAGAATGAGGCAGATATAATATTTAAGAAAGTCATGGCTGGGGGCAGGAGAGATGGCTCAGCAGTCAAGAGTACTTGTTGCTTTTGCAAAGGACCTGGGTTTGGTGCTCAGTACCCATATGGCAGCTAGCAACCATCTATAGCTCCAGTTCTAGGGGATCTGATGCCCTCTTCAGGCCTCTGTGAGCACTGTAGACACATGGTACCTTTACATATGTGCAGGCAAAAAAATGATACACATAAAATAAAAATAAAAATGTAAAAAGTCATGACTGATACTTTAAAAAAATGATTATCGGGCTAGAGAGTAGTTAAGAGCACTGACTGCTCCTGCAGAGGACCTGGGCTCGGTTCCCAGCACCCACATGGTGGCTAACAACCATCCTAATTCCAGTTCCAGGGGATTTGACACCCTCTTCTAACCTCTGTGGGCATTGCATGACACAGGTGCACTTAAGTACATGTAGGCAATACATTCATACACATAAAATAAAAATATTTTTTAAATTGATGGCAATGCAAGCCATGAGTTATAGAAGAATTACAAGCACCAAATGCAGGAAACACAAGGAGAAATCTATACATATAAGACTGCTAGAAACTGAAATAAGAAAAGCACAAAGCTTCCAGAAGCAAAAGAGACACAAATTACCTACAAAGTGTAAAAATGATGGAGCTGAGCTCTCAATAGAGATCAGTTTGTGTGGTAGAAGTGAGGTCTGTGCAGTCCCTGCCTGAATCACAGAGCTGGCTGCAGGGTGGTCAGAAGCTGGGAGGCAGTAGACTACCAATCAGCACAGAAACAAAGTATGTCTCACACAGATACTGAGAGGAAGATGATGTAGCTATATTAAGTCAAAGTAGAATTCAAACTTTAAGTATTAAGGCAGGAATCACTGCCAGAGATAGAGGAATGCTTCCTAATGATAAAGGGTTAGATTTACAAATGACAAAACAATTCTAAATTTCCATGTACCCTGATGTAACCTCAGAACTACAAAGTAAAACATTACACAGAGGCTTTATATGCAACACAAAATATTTACACAGTTTCTAGTTCCATCCATTTACCTACAAATTTCATGATTTCATCTTTCTTTACTGCTGAATAAAACAATTGGGAAAATGAACAGCAGACCCCAATCTTACCTAAAGGAATATTGACAACTGATTGCTGCTAGATGAGGAACAGCTGACCCTCCTAAAACAAAGACCTCTAAGTAGTGGGGAATGGCTGGGGGTGCTGACAACACAGCAGACAGTAACAGGAATATCAGAGTGTAAGGGCTCTAGTCGGGGGAGGGAGGCTATGGGAGGGTGCCATCTAGGAAGTGGATGTATAGTTGAGTAAGATGGTTTGGGATGTTCTGTGTGATCTACACATGCAAAAAAAAAGTCAACAAATTTTAAAATGTGAATTATATTTGAGGAGGAAGCATGAAAATTTACATCATGTTAATTAGTAGAGGTGATAAACATTACCATTGAAATCTAGCTGATGACTATATAGACATACACAAGTTCTAAGGA